GGATCATCTAACCTGAATCGAATACCAAAACCAGTTCAGACACCGAAATACATTCTTACCCCGGTGCCCAAATCCATCACATACAGTCAATCCTGGAATCATACGACCATGATCCCAAACCTACTACCATTATTCTTCATGTAGGCCTCAACAACCGTGATCAGATACCAAAGACCTCCTTTAACCAAGCCCAGAAATTAATCGCCACAGCCAACAAAACCTTCCCAAACTCCAAGATCCTCTTCACATGTATACCCATTTCAAATAAAATCTCGAAGAAAGCACAACAGAACCTCAGCACCCTCAACAACATGATGATGGAGTCCAGTATCAACAGCGCAACAATCTTACCACCCTACGAAGAAGAATTCGAACCAGTTGATAATCTTCATTGGTCTCCAGAAACAGCAAACAACATTTATTTGTTTTGGATACACCAGCTTCAAGCATCGAGTAAGTCTTTAAACTAATTACTGGGGATAAAAATACTGAGAGGCCACCGCTAGGCCAAACTGTAGTTAACTTGAGCCGCAAAATTCTCACACCCCTTCAGCATTCAATCTTCGACCGTGGACTTAAGTTTATTCCCACACCAAAGATAGCTAACTTGAATTATCTCCGACCATCCATTGAACGATTTCAACGAAATCTTAGCTGCACATATTTTTTTCGAAACCACCCCCCCACGTGGTGCTAGAACAATGTTTATTCCTAAATCCACGTGGACACCCCCTCAGGCCGCCATCCATCCTGAAATATTGAAAGCATTTGCGAGTTTGAATAGCCAAACAGTGAACCTTTCCATAACACACGAAAAGCCTAATCTCACACGAGTGGAACGTGAAGCGTTAAACTTACTTAAGAAAGACGATAGCATTGTTATTAAAAAGAGTGACAAAGGTTCATGTTGTGTCATTCTGAATAGGGAGGATTACGTTTCAGAAGCAGAGAATCAACTGAATATTCCTAAACATTATGCCATTTTACCGAAACCAATTTTCAAAGAAACTGCTAACATGATTAATAATATTCTTGCCGATTTAGTCAAAACTAGTTATCTCAAACAGAAATAATATGACTGTGGCTACCATTTTAAGTTTATTTCAATGTAAGAAAATATTTGTGGTCTAATTCCAATTTTATTAATAATTTAATATTTGTGGTCTAAATCTAATTGGTCTGGATAATCTTGCATTTTTATATTGTCTATTGATTTGGCATTTACGTCTGGAGGAAAAGACTGGTGTTCCTAGATGATTAGTACTTCCTGTTGAAAATAAGCACATGGATGCTATAAAAACTTTTTGTTAATATTTAGCTCGTTTTGAGAGTTCTGTTGGTTTGACAGCAGTTTGGAAGTTACAATCAGGAACTGTTTTTTCTAACCAGTTGCGGTTCTCAGTCGCAGTTACAGTGACTTGTAACTTTATCAATATTATTCATTGATTCCATGGTGTGAGAAGATTTGATTTGAACTGTGTTATAAGCCGTTCCTGTATTTCATCATAAATAAACCTAATATGTTGAACTATTATATTTGATTATTTTTTATATCAAAAGACAATCCCTCTGTCTTAATACGTGGCAATGTCCTGATGAATTGCCTGGATATCGGGACATTAAGTTAGAAAAAACATCCTCTTCTGTGAGTGACTTTAAATATTTTAAATTTGAGTGACATTTTTATAAATTGAGATGTCGGTGGAACTTCCAGTTTTGTATTCTACTGTCTAGAGACTGTGTGAAGAAATAAGCCTTTGAATTAACAATAATGAAGAATTTATTAAATATGATGTTTTACAACGTTATTGGAAAACACTGGTAGATAAAACTGAAAAAGATAGTGAATCACCGTCAGATCCTGAATATACTAATATAGTGTTCAAAAAATCGCAATGTGATAAACACTTTAATTCTTATAAATGTGTAAAAAACAAAGTAAGTCCTAGACCAAAAATATTTGAGGGTAGTTATCATGGTAGCAGTGCATCGACTGATTCTTACCTACGTAAAAAGGAAAAGTTAGAAATTGCCCAGAAGAGAAAAAAACATGCCAAGTTTATGCATGATTTGTCTATGAAAGA